GGCCGAGGAAAACTGGGGGAGGGGTCTGGGAGGTGGGGGCTGGCCCTGAGACACCCACTTGCTGACAGGGGCGGAGCCAGGCCCCAGCGATTCCTTCTGGCTGCTCTTGGAGCACTTGATGTGGACATGTCCCTGCCAGCCCGGGGAGGCACAGGTTCACGGGGACACCCCTGCAATCCAGACCATGGGGCAGGGGGCATGGGGCGTCGTCCTCTCCTGGGGAAGGGCAGGGGGCTCACGCCTGCAGAGCCCCTCGAGGCCTTGTGTGCTGGGTCAGGAAGCTGGGAGAGCCGGGTGCAGGGTTAGCCCGCAGGGAGCACTGCCCGTGACAGCGGCCTTGGTGTGTTTGGGGGTTAGTGGGGGGCAGCCTGAGCATACCGGCACTCGGACCTTCCTCCCTTCACAGCGAGGTTCAGCAGCCCGAGTGCCAGTCGTGCTCCCGCAGGCCTTCGCTCTCCCTCCATGCCCCAGGGCGGTGTGCCTCAGTGCTGCACCAGTGTGGGCCACGTGTGAACCCACGCGTGATTTCAGGCTTGCCATGAGACACGGGATGCAAGATGTGTGCTCTGTGTGTATCATCATTCCGATGCATAATCCATAAAAAACGAAAGATGTGCCAGGGGCTCTGATGTGCACGTTAAAGGGTGGGAGGCTCTCAGAGGTGAGGGGTGTCCAGTTTAGGAGAGGGGTTTGGGGGCACTGCCCGAGCCCCCTAGGTGAGGCTGGAGGAGGTGCAGTGGGGTGCAGGGGGTGTAGGGAAATACAGGCCAGCGTCTGACCCTGCAGGGAAGGTGTCAGAAGGGTCAAGCCATATGGCAACAGGGGTGGGGCACTCCAGGCAGGGGGGCCGCGGAGCCAAGGTGTGATGAGGATGGGGGAGGGCCGGTGCTGGCAGCAGGCTGGCGTGTGATGTGGCTGCGGCCAGATGGCGGCTGCTCTGAGTGCCAGGCTGGGTCAGCTGGGCACACAGCAGGCCCTTCCAGGAAGACGTGCTGACCAGGGACTGGGGCGGAGGGAGGGAGCATCCCCCTGGGGTGGTGGGGGCCTCCAGGTGAGGGGCGGGGTCACAGGCCCACCTCCCAGGCCACTGAGACCTTCCAGGCCTGCAGTTCTGTGGGAGCACTCTCCCGCCTCGGGGGAGGACAATTCACTTATTCATGAGCACATCCCGGGCTCCCGCCAGGCAGCCGCTTCTGCACACCTCACTGCTAATTACAGCAGGGGCTTCATTAACGCGCAGAGAAGCGCCAGGCTTCCAGCCGCCCCTGAGAGGCGGTGCGGGCGCCCTCGCCCTCGTCTTCCCTTCCCTTCTCTCTGGGGGCCAGAAGCTCACGTGGGCCAGGCCAGCTGCAGGGGCAGGCAGGGCAGGTGAAGAGGACCCCAGGCCCATCACCTGGGCACACATGGAGGGCTGCTTCCCAACACCTGTGACTGTGGGGTGCTGCCTGGGACACCTGCAAACGGCAGGCGGGAGGGAGTGGTGAGTGGGCTGGAGCTGTGAAACCAAGGCATGAGACGCACAGCAGGCTGCGCGCCGGGCAGGGCGAGGGTCCTGGTACAGCTGAGTCCCCGTGATGACACAGCACTGGGGGCACAGCAGATGTGCTGCTGGGGAACCCGGCAAGGCGGGTGGAGGTAAGGGTGTCTGGGGCCCAGGGAGAGGAGGAGGCTGCACGGGGCTGTCAGGCAGACACAGAGAGAAGGGGGAGTTATTGCCCCACTCCATCCCCCTCCCTGTGCCCCGCCAAGGTCCAGGCATGGACTCTCAGCACCAGCCAGGACCGAGTTGGCCTTGGCTGAGCAGGGACTCTCCAAGCAGAACTGCCCCCCCACACCGGGGGGGGGGGACTGGCTGGGTCCACCCAGATCTTGCAGGTCAGTGACAGAGCTTGTGAGTCTGGGGTGGGAAGCCCCGTCCTTCCAACCACTGGGGAGGGTGGGCAGAGCCATTACCCCACCCCTCGGCCAGGAAGTGGGATGGTGGGGCTCACCCGGTCAGTCTGAAGTGCAGCAAGGGTCTTGACAGGGCGCCACCCATCATGGGGGGTGTTGACACCCACATAAGGGGGTTCCCCACCCCTTAGATGCCTGTGTGCATTTTCATAGAGCCTCCCCCATGTGCACGTCATTCATGGGCACACACAGCCTACTTGTTCCCTTCTCTCCCTCCCTGAGCTCAGAGCCTCAGCCTCAGGCCAGGCTGCAGGGCCTCTCTGCCACACAGCAGGGCCCAGAGCCACAGACACTCCTAAGGGGAAGCTGGGCTGCATCGGGCGGCTCTGGCTCCCACCCTGGGCTCCCTTGAGCAGGGGAGGGGGCCGCAGGGCGAGAAGGCTTAGCAAACACGCTCCCCATCTGCCGCCCCCTGCTGCAGACCCTGGCCCAGATCCTAGGGAGGGGGTGGGAGCTGCTGATGCCACCAGACACGACCAGCAGATCAGGTCTAAGCCTGGGCCCCGACTCCCGGACCCAGGATCTCAGCTCCCTTCCAGTCCCCCTCAGCCTGTGGACTGTCCCACCCTGGCCTAAGAAGCGTGGATCCTTCTCCAAACCTGCTCCATGCACTGGGGCCAGAGCAGGGGTCTCTGGGAAGGGGGTCCTGGGCGACAGCCCTTTCCTGCCCCAAGGCCTCCCCAGGGTCCATCCTGGAGAGCCACATGACTCGGGGGTACCTCATTCCCCACCCCCTGCCACCTGCTGCCGAGTGCCCTGTGCAACCCCACCCCAGCTTGCACACTCTTCAGCAACAGGGAGCTCACTACCTGCCCAGGAGGCAGCTTGTAAAGGAAGCTCTCCAGGAGCTTAGACTTTTGGGAAGGTGACCGTACAGAGGCCAGGGGGACAACGTGGCCACTGGCCAGAGTCCATGGGGTGAGACTGCTGTCATCATCAGTTTGAAAAGCGATAGACCTGGCCCACCACCCCGTCTGCTGCCCCACGTTATAACAGAGCTGGAGGAACCATGTCGTGTGGCCAGGACCCCCTCCTTCCCTGAGGGTCACTCACCAGGAGCCCAGATGACCGCTCCCTCTCTCAACTGATAAAATATCAATGGGATGTGGAGGTGAACGAGGAAAGTCTTAGAATATTCCTTTGGGGTCTAGCACCTGCCCTTCACCCATTGTGCAGATGGCAACGCTAAGTCTAGAGACAGGCAGCAAAGTCACAGAGCGAGCGAATGGCCAGAGAGCAGGGCTCAGGCTGAGGCTGTGGGCGCTGACAGCCAGGCTGCCAGGCCCAGCGAGGAAGGGAGGGGGCTGCGTGTGCACCCGCCAGCCCCACCCCTGCTGCCCCTGGAACACTCGGGTATTGATTCTGCCTGCCCCGGGAATGAGTCTTCCCCGCTCTGTTTGCACCAAGGTTTTCCATGGTTCTTCACTTTTTGTGAAGAACAAACTCGAAGCTGCTCCTATGATTAATCACCAGCTGCTCAGTGCTCCGCCACTGGCAATTTCTGCAAAAGGAATGAATTACCTTGAAAAACATCCGGAAGGAGAACCCACCGTGAAGGAGAACGGCAAAGGTTAGGCGACAATTAGCAGAGGGATCCCCGGCCTCAGCCCACGGCCGCGGGCGCTGCGGGGAGAGCGGGCCGGCTGGGAGGGCTGGGCCTTGGCTGCGTTCGAGGCAGGCGCGGGCGCAGCTTCCCCAGCAGCTGGTGAGCGCCCACCCTGCAGCCCCAGCCGGGGTCTCCACGGCTTTGAGCGCTGCCGGGTTCCCAGAGGCTTCGGTTCAAATCCCCACTGCACCACTTAGAGTGCTAAGAGTTCCTGAAGCACGCTGGGCCTCTGGAGACCCAGGCATTAAACTAACCTCCTCATGGGACTCGTGTGGGCAGAAATATGTATTTAAGGAGCACAGCGCCTGCACACAGCAGCCGCACAAAGCCGCAGCACTTCAAAGCCCTCGTGGCAGCTGAGTATCCTCGCCCCGGCCCTGCCGGCGACGCTGGGAGAATCAGCCTCACTGGCAGGGAAAGAACTGACTCCCGCCAGGCATGGGACTGGCCCAAGGTCACGCGGGGGATAGGCAGGCATCGGGATTTCCTGCAGTAGGAAGGAAGCCCCGGCCCAGCTCCCTGGTCCCAGGGCCCCAGGGCAGCTCATCCAGCCCTGCCACGGGGTCCCTGGGAGCTGCATGAGGGCAGCAGATGAGGCTTCCACACCACAGCAGAGACCCGGGATCTCCCAGCTGGACACCTTGGGACGAAGGGTCCTGGCCCACGGAAGCATTTCTGTGGTCTCTGAATCGAGGCATGGGCCAAGTGGAGATTCCACAGGTCACCCTCTGTCCCAAGGCCAAGTATGCTCAACTTGGAATGCCACCTGCTGGTAGCAGACGCGGGGCCAGACGACCAGCACGTACCCATCCTGGCACGGGTGAGTTCTCAGGGAGAAGGCGATGGGAAGCCCTGAGGTGTTAGGGAGAAGGAACTCTGGGGCTCCTGACAAACCCTCAACACGAGGCTCTGCCAACTCATCCCCATTGCACAGATCAGTAAACTAAGGCACAGAGCAATGGCACAAGATCACGGAGGACAAGTGTCAGAGCCAGGGTCTGAACCCAGGTGGTGTGACCCCGGAGCCCAGGGTGTGTCCTCTCATGTGCTCGCAGGACAGAAGGGTTGGGCGGCAGCAGCACTCACATCAGCGACTGCACCCTTCTGCCCACCCAGGCCACCTCCTGCACCTGCACAAAGCTGCCAAGGCCAGGCCTGCCCCACTCCTCTGCTCTATCCCCAGCCTTGGCCCTCGTAGCCTCTCTAAAGAAAGGCCTGGTGGAAGGGGTCCCGGGACGTTGAGCAGGGGGAAGGCCCTGTCCAAGGCACAGTGAGGTCCCAGCAAAGATGGCCTGCATCCAATTGCACTCATGACAGCCAAGGTCAAGTCAAAGACACAGCGAGGGCCAGAACCCCATTGCCACATCAGGACGCAGCCGCTCCGCTCCCAAGTGTCCAGGCCAGCCACCCTGCACCCACTCCAGCACAGCTGCACACCTACCTCAGTGATCCACCAGTCACCAGTGTCCCACGTGCCGGTCAGCAGCTCGTGGCCCGGCCACCTCACTCCAGCTCCATCCTCCTGCAATGACAAGGAGGTGGTCAGGGGGTCAGCCTCCTGCAGGGACCCCGACCCTGGCCACGCTGCCAGAGCCCAGTGCTTGCGAGAAAGCAGACAGCCAGAAAAGCTGTCACCTGCCATCTGACAGGTGGGGAATCTGAAGGTGTGACCGCTGCATGGCCACTGGGTGAGCTCCCGGCTCTTGGGGTTTCAGCCTCTACAAGTGTCCAAATGGGATCAGTCTCTAGGTCAAGGTTGTGGGCAGGACTCCAGGAGACATGGGCTCTTGGCTTTCATTCAACATTTAGTGAGCACCTCAGACTGTGACATGAATGGTCCCTGCCCTGGCAGGAACTCAACAAGCAGAGAATCAAAAATAGACAATTAAAAGTGGCAGCTCCCAGAGGTTCCAGGTGGCCCCTTTGGGGAAGTGTAGTTAAAGGATGAGCCCGAGACAACTGGGCCAGAATTCAGGGAACAGCATTCTGGGCAGAGGGAACAATATATGTGAAGACCGTGAATCAAGGAAAAAGGCCTGCCCTCCAGCCCCCCACCCCGGGGAGGACTTCTGAATGGGTGATGTGGCGGGTATAGTGGGCAAGGGAGGAGACAGTGTGAGCAGGGCAAGAGGCAGGGCCCATCTCGGAGAGGGTGGACTTGGACAGAAGCCACAGGGGCATGTGGGCAGCTGAGGGCCACGACTCAGGTTCAAGGTTGGGAGAGCCCTGTGGCTGCTGAGGGGAAGTGGTCTGGAGGGGACAGAAGTGGACAAGGAGGCCAGCGAGGAGGCTGCTCCAGGATCTAGACCAGAGATGGTGGTAGTGCTTGAGACACAAGCAGGAGGCATGAGTGGCAGGCCCTGCTGGTGCACTGGCCACCTAGGGGTAGGATTCTCCCTGTTGGGTGGGGTCTGGCTCCAGGGATCATCAAGAGGCCTCCCAGCATCGCCCAGGGATGGGAGCCAGGGTCCTGACTGCCGGACTTCTTGGGAACCCTGAATTCAAGTCCTGGATGTGGAGGCACCTCGCTATGTACCATCACTGTGACTCTGTCCACGTGCCCTCCTCTAAGAAACGGAAACCACAGGGCCGGCATTGTGGTGCAGAGGGTTAAGCCGCACCTGTGACGCCAACATCCCTTATCTGAGCATCAGTTCAAGTCCTGGCTGCTCCGCTTCCAAAACAGGTCCCTGCTAACGTGCCTGGGAAGGCAGCAGAAGACGGCTCAAGTATTTGAGTCCCTATCACCCATGTGGGAGTCCTGGATGAAGAAGCTCCTTGATTCAGCCCGGCCTAGTGCTGGACATCAAGGCCATTTGGGGACTGAACCCAGAGGGAGGCGCGTGGCTAACAGCGGCAGAAGCAGTGTCTGTACCGCATGAAGCATGGGCTTCCACACACACCGGGGACTGGGTAGAGGCCTGAGACCCGGCCACACGCACTGGGCAGCCAGTGGGGGCTTTCTGGAAGCAAGGGGTGCCCATGGCTTCAGCAGGAGGCACTGAGGCTAGTGTAGGAGGCGTGGGCTAGGAATAACCAGGACACATCTCAAATCCTGCGTTTGTCCTCTTCCTAAAGGGTGTGCCTTGGACACATTTCTGAAGCGGCTTTCTGCCTCAGTTTCCCTAACTGTGGGGCGGGACTGAGGAACGAGGAGGAACTTCCCTCAGAGGCTTGCGCGTGCTATAGACGCCCTGCAGGGGCCACCACTGGACCCTAAGCCCCGAGCTCCCGCAGTCAGGCCCAGTGTCACCACCCCAGCAGAGAGGGAACGGCCCCACCTCGTGACCCCGTAACTCTGCTGCTCCCAAACTCTGCTCACCTTGGAAACCCAGCCCTGGAGTTCACGGAGCCCAATGCCCCCATTTCATGGAGGACAAGCTGAGGCTCAGGGAGGGGTCATGCAGCCAGGCAGTGGCTGGGGCAGAACGGAATCGGCCCCGTGCCTCCCACTCCTCACAGCCCAGGCCTGGCCCAGAGGCGCGCCGGCCAGCAGAGCCACTCACAAAGAGAAAATAATTATTTTGGCAGCTGAGACGGAAGCCAGAACCGGAAAGTTCTCACTTGCTGGGCAAGTGTCGCCCAGGGTCCCAGGAGTGCTGGCCGGCAATGCTGCCTCGCAGGGTGCCAGCTCATGGTGCTCACCGTGTGTCTCACAGGCCCTGGCCACCCCGGCCCCTGGTGCAAAGGGACCCTCTGAGACCAGAAAGGGGAAGGGACTTGTCCAAGGTCACACAGCAAGATGAGGGAGCTCTGGGACTGCATCTGAGACCCTGCTTTGCCAGGCGCTGCCCACCTGGGAAAGACAGTGGGATGCAGGAGGTAAGGTAGCATCCCAGGGCACACACCAGGCCCTGAGAGGTCGTCTAACTACCTAAGGTCATGCACCTGGGGAGAACACCCCTGGGCTGTGTGCATACACAGTCTGTCCACCACACTCTGCCCAGCCTGGGAGCTGCTCAGAGCCAGATGGCAGTGCTGGGCACCAGCACACTGGGGAAGGAGGGCTCAGGAACCAGAAACCGGGGCAGGACTGTGCACGCAGAGTCGACGTCCTGCATCCCACCCTGCGCCTTTGGCCAGGGCTCGCAGCCTGTGTGGGCCGGGCCACCCGGCGAGACCAGGGAGAGAAGGCCGGAGACGCAGCGTGGCTCCCCGCCCAACCAGACCACAGGGTAAACAACGTGGGTGCGGGAGTTCCCGTTCTCTTCCTGAAACACACCAGGGATGAGGACAGGGTGCAGCCTGGGCCTCGGGGCCAGCGGTGGGTGTGGGCAGCAGAGGCCCGCCCAACATCCCCCTCCCGGGACAGGCAGCCCAGTGCTCAGAGAGCTGTCGAGCTGGCGCCCTCAGCTCAGCACTCTGGCTTCTGGGGTGGATGTGGGGCACCCGGAGGGCAGGGAAGCTTCTGACTGCATGGCAGAAGGGGCCCTGAGACAGCTGCAGGCTGAAACTCACTGGGTGCCGCCAACGGTGCAGCGGCGGCCTGGGCGCTCCAAGGGAGGAGAGGTTGCTATGTGTGGAGTGACCAGCTGGAGTGACCAGACTGAGTCTTGGACAAGGCAGAGGTCAGTGCCCCCGGTCACACTCCTCTCCACTTCCCAGCTTCCCCAGGGATCCCTTGTGCAGGGGGCACCCAGCCAAGCTGGCCTAGGGGAGAGACGCAGAAGTGGGCCAGGACTCGAGGAAGGCAGAGGGTGCCGTGATGGCCCAGGGCTGGGGCACCGGGCCTGCAGCTAAGGGACGGGTGGTTCTCTACAGCTGTGGAGGTTGGGGTGGGGTCCACATTCTGGCTGGAGCCTTGGCTTCTGTGGTGAGGTCAGAGGCAAAGAGGGCTGGTGGAGCTCGGTTTAAATCCCAGCTTGGCTGGTGTGACCATGGGCAAGGCACTTGGCCTCTCTGAGCTCCCCACCCCCTTCAGGGACTGATTCTCCCACTGGGGCAGGGGCCAGGCTCCTGGCTCACCTGGTAGAGGCAGACGTTGGAGGGGGTATGGACTTACCCATAGACCTCCAGGAAAGGGAGGGACAACCCTGGGTGCTCTGTGGCAGGGGCCATGCCAGTGGAACCCGGGAACCTAGAGTTCTGAGTTCTCGCGCCCTGGTCTCAGCATCTCACCTTGCACCTGGTCTCACCCACACATGTCCTGGGGCCCCTGGTGGCCACAAGGGCTCCAGCAGACTCAGGTGTCACACACAGGTGCCACAGAGTGGCAGGTGGCTCTCTGGGGAGGAGGGTAATGGCTCAAGGGCACAGTTGCCAAGTGGGAGTTCAGAACCAGTCATGTGGGCATGCACCCACGTCAGCTCCAAGCTGCGGCTGCCCTGGCTGAACTGATCTGAACTACGTCTGTTGCCACAGTGACCCTCAGTGCCTGAGGCAGACCGGGTAGCTGCTCCTATCCCCATTTCACAGACAGAACAAGTAGCTGCTGCTCTGGTGGCCAGGGTCCAGGGTCCAGGGTCCCCTCTGGCCCTGCAGAGACTGTGGAGTGGTAGGGGGTCCCCACCCCTGAGACCCGCGTGGGCCTGCATCCCCTTACGTGACCCCGTGGACAGGCCCCGTCCTCCCCGGGCGGCCAGTGCTGGCTCCAGTAGCAAGGCAAATATTTACCCCTGATGGTTATCCAAGCCTCATCCCAACGGTGGCTTCCCCGCCTCCCGCATTCCTGGAATACATGTTCCCTGACCTCACCGAGCTGGGGGCCCCCGTGCAGACCAGGGGAAGCGCCAGACCCAGGCTGCAGGGCCCAGGCGGAGGCCAAGGCCCACCAGCTAGAGGACACAGTGGCCTCGGAGTGCTCCTCTGGCCACACACCCACCAGGGGAGGCTCCAGACTGTTCTTGAAGAGCAGGAGGTTGGCCAGAAAAGCACTGCCTGCCCTTGACCCCTGGAGAAGAGACCGACTGCCCTGCCGCCCGGCCCTGGGGTGGGGGGTGGATCTGGGGGCTATGCCATGTACCCCCAAATCTGTGGGTCAGGGCTCTTGTCACCAGGGTTGAGGGCCTTACACTCACTGCTAACCTCTCTCTCTCCCTCTCTTTCATACACACACACACACACACACACACTCAGCCCGCCACCAACACGGCAGGTCCTCCCTCTGCCAATCCCAGCAGCTCCCACCGCCTCCCTCCATCCTCGCACTCCCTACCATCGGGGATCTGTGAGGTCCCCCTTCCAGACCAGAGAGCACACAGCCGGAAGTGGCAGACATGAGCTACAGCACCCAACCACGCTCAACGGCCCTGCAGCTTATGCCTCACCACGTAAGCCAGGGCCAGGGCTCCAGCCAGAATGGGGACCCCCACCCCCGCAGCTGTAGAGAACAGCTGGCCCCTTAGCTGCAGGCCTGGTGCCCCAGCCCGGCCAGCACAGCACCCTGTCCCCCCAACCCCCACTGTGCTCCACCCCTGGGAACTCTCAGCCCATCTTTGCAAAGGACCACCTCCTCCAGGCTGCCTTCCCTGACAGTTCCCCCTCCCCAAGTGATCGTTCCTCTCGCTGAATTTCCAGAACACT